ATTTATTATTGCCAATTAAATCATGCTTAAACATTTCTAGAATTTTTTCGAGGAAATAAGTGTTTAAGATTTACATCATAATTTTTAATATAGATATTTTGAATTTTTTTATGTATTTTTGCCTTCTCGCGAAGTGAGAACTGAATTAATTGAATGAGAAATACTCAATCGTCTGTGAAAAACTGTTTTCTTTTTGTTTGTTTGCTTAATTTCTTTTATACATCATTCTAGTTTTATTATAGTATTTGAATAGAACATGTGGCAACGATTAGATAATTCTATTCTTTAAATGATATAAGTTTTGTGCATTTTGAGTTATAATATCAACGAAATATAATACTGATAAGTGAATCTAGCGCCAGAGTGTCGCTATGGTAAACAAATACTAGAGTGAGTTTTAAAGAATTTTAAAAAAATTAAAGAATGCATTTATTCTATTGTGGTTTATGCGCTGTCGGCGAAGTAGATTTAATTCAATCCAATAAGTTTAAATGAAATGCAATAAAAAATGCGTATAATTTAATATTCCGTACAAGGAAGTCATGTGGTGTACACATCAGATTTTTTAAACTTATCGTCTGATACTTTGAGCTTCGACTACGTCTATGATTCTTCACCAATCTATTTATTCCGGACAAAAGCTGGTACATCATATATATATATATATAATATATAATAAATCATAATAATTAAATCAAAATTAGATTAGTATGATTTTTGATTCGAACCCAGACTGCGCAAGTTTAATTATAATTATCTCAAGTAAAAATTTCTCAACTTTTGTATATATATAAAAGTTGAGAAATTTTTAATCGACATAACGGAGTTTCAATATATAATTCTGATTCGATATTTGGCATAACAGCTATACTTACCTGTACACACACACACATATATATATACACACATACTGCCTTTTAAAAGTTAAGGAACAGCATGTTTTTCAAAGCTCGTCGTTACAAAACTGTCAGTAACGTTTAAAATCACAGTTCCTATGCATAACAGTAACGAAGTTTAAGAATATATATTCAAAAACAATAGATAACACTTTTATTTTATAGAAATGATTACTTATATAGGAGTTGGAGAAAAAATGAAAAAATTGTAATTTTTGTTCACCAATGTTGATTTTCAATTATTATTACAGTTGTGGACAGTTCATATGCATAACAATAAAGAAGTTTAAGAATATATATTCAAAAACAATAGATGACACTTTTATTTTATATAAATGAATACTTATATAGGAGTTGGAGGAAAAATGCAAAAATTGCAATTTTTGTTCACCAATGTTGATTTTCACTTATTATTACAGTTGTGGGCAGCATCCAGGACATTCTATTAATGTCCAGAAGTCGTTTACCCGATTCGTTGAGGTGGCTGGTAATCGGATAGATTGAAATGGTGATGTTACAAGCTGATACTGCTAGACATCTCATTGTCTATCTTAGTGTGGTCCCCAACTATGGAATTAGTTTGAACCCGAGGATTCTGTATAGAAGACATGTTCCAGGCAGACCTAGAGTTCCAACATCTGCGGGAGACCGTTATTTAGCTCTTTCAGCCCGAAGGAGGAATAACATTACTGTGCCTCAGCTCATGGCAGTTCATTTAGTGGCAACAATAATCTCAGCTAATACAGTACGCAGACGCATGCACAATACAGGTCTGTATGCAAGAAGACCAGTTGTTTGTGTCCACTTGACCCGAGGACACGCAGGTGTCCGTTTATGTTGAACAAGAGAAGACGTCTCCTCGACCAGTCAACAACCAGCATCTCTTTTCTTCACAGAAGAGTCCAGGTTCACACTAGAAAGTGATTCAGATCGTCACCTGATCTGAAAGGAACAGAGCACCATATTCAACCGATCCCACATTGTGGAAAGACATAGTTACGAAGGGGGTTGAATAATGGTTCGGGCTGGGATCGCTCTCGGTGGTCACACTGACCTGCATATGTTCCATGGAGTAAATTTGACTGGTATGAAATATCAAGACGAGATCCTTGATCATATGTCCGTCCATATGCCGCTGCTATTGGTCCTGGATTCTTATGGACGGCAATGCGCGACATCAAGACCCTGATCCGATAGAGCATCTTTGGGACTACCTTGGGAGACAGTTTGCTGCTTTAAGTCCTCATCCAAGGTATTTAAATAAGCTTGAACAAGGATTACTCATTGTCGGATTGTTGCTTCCCATTTCACTGACTGATAATACCATTTATGGCATTGAACGTCGCTGCCGCCAATGAAGGGTTGGACACATTCCTTATTAGAACCCATTTTTGTAATGTTAGTACTCCATTTTTCTTAAAAAACTGCGATGTACCGTTCCTCCAGGACTGGATTTCTCTGCCAAGAGTGCAATGTTTTTTGGTAATTCATGTATGTGTTGAAATTTAGAAACATTCTATGCCGCATTCATTAAAGAACTGTTTAGTAAACATGTCCTGTAAATTTCTTGTTTCTATGTTGCTTCATTTTCAAATTAGACACAAAAACATGCTGTTCCTTAATTTTTGGAAGGCAGTGTATATGTGTATATATAGGTATATTGTTATTCTTCTATCTATCTTTTTTTTTTCTTTTTTTGAGATTTACCAACTGATACTTTTAAGTTGTAATAGAAACAACTCCGTGTATTTTTGTTTACAACTGTTGGGTTACCGTTAATTTCAACATGGGGCGCAAAAATAAACATTTTCGACATCTTTCCCCTTTTTATTTTCATAAAGGCAAGAATACGGTTGAGGCGCATAAGACGATATGTGACGTTTAGGGTGTTCAGAGCTTAACAAAACGCATGTATTGGAACTGGTTTAGAAAATTTTTCTGGAACATTTTTACTTAATTATGATCAATGTTCTGGCCGATCTTCTGAAGTTGATTATGAAAGCCATAAATGAATTTAATCGTCATATAACTTTGTAGGAGATTGAAAAGAGGTTAACTGTATCACACCAACAATTTAAAATCATATAAGATGTTCTGATATTTAAGTTCCACATGAATTGATAGAAATCCATTTAATGCAACAAATCTATATTAACGATATGCATTTCAGAGGTAACGCAGTTGACACTTTTTTGAAACGAATTACCAATGGTCACTAAAATGATTCAATATATTAGTCGAAAATATATATTTCAATATATTAATCGAATACAACAATATTAATTGAAAAATATCATGGTCCATACTCTTCAAGGAAGGACAGATCATATAGGAAGCTAAATTGCCTCCAAAAGGACATGCTGTCAATTTGGTGGGATTACAAAGCTGATGGGACATTTGGAGCTGCTTCCAAGCAACCAAGCGATCATTTCAGATATTTACTGCCAACAACGTATGAAATTGGAGGAATCAAAGAAAAAAAAGCTAGACTTGGCAAAGGAATCGTGATCCATCACCACAATGCGAGGCCTCACACATCGTTAGCAATTTGTACGAAATCACTGGAGTTTGAATGGGAAATGATTTTGCCTCCGCCATAGAGCCGCGTCCTTGGCACCATCAGATTTTCATTTATTTCGAAGTTTACAAACTTTCTAAAATGGTAAAAATTTCAGCTATAGCGATGACCGCAAATTTCATTTGTTTGAAGTGTTTGCTAACAAGACTAGAAGTTCTATGAGCGTGAAATCGTGCAGTTACCAGAATGATAAGTTCAGCGAATAGAATGGAAGATAATTGACGGATCAAAGCTCATTTTTTGTACAGAAACAATATTCCGTTTTGGGCATTAAGAACCGAAATTATTTTCTTGCCAACCCGATGAGATTTATCTTGGTATATTCATAATTTAATTATGCTCAGTAAGAGCAAGTCTGTATGATGTTCTACCTTTGCATGCTCTTCAATTAGCACATATAGTAGTTACTGAAAAATGCCTGGCTTGGAATCCTAATAATGGCACTGTTAATTTTTCAAATTCCCTGCTCTGTAAAGCCGAATGGTCTCTGTACGACTAATAATGTAGTATTGCCAGGATATTCAAACCGCAGTAATTTATGAAATTCTTATGGAGAAAAGATACTTTGGTGTTTCAAACTGAAATATTGATATATTTGAACCATTAAAAGAAATGATAATAGATTTAATAAACTAAACGCGGCTATAGTTTTACAATGAAACGAAAATAATTTCTTAACCTTAAACTAATTATTTTCAAAATCCTTAGAGTAAACAAATAGTAATATTTCCACATTCAGGTAAATTTTCTAACCTAGCTTTTTAAACCAAATTTTACTTGACATATTTTTATCTATTTTATTAAATGTTTTCTCATTTACCTAATATATACGTTTCCAAAAGAACGTCGAAATTTAGGATCACAAAATTCTACATTTGTTACCTAGAATTGTAGCAGCATGAAATGCTTCAACGAAACTGAATATCTATACAAAATATAAAAATTATAAAATAATTTTTAATTTTTAAGTCTTTTGATAAAATTAGTAATGAAGTTTTTATTAAAATATAACTTGTTAAGGAAATATTTTTAGATTCCTTGTTAATGCATTCGTGTGAAATCATTCATATTATTTGAAATTGCTGGAATCATTGAATTAACATCTAGAGCAGAGAGTACACTATTAAAATAATTTCATTACTAAATGTAGTCTAGTAACAGTGCCAATTTACACCCACTTGTGTAATTAACTACGCTTTGAGAATAGAAGAAACAGAGGAAAGAGAGCAATTAGATCCATTGGAGAGCACTGGATGAACCATGGATGTATCATAATGATCAAAGATGTTGAAAACTTTGACAGTTCCCGGCGAGAATGTTGTCCGAGGAAGACCCTTAGGGAGGTGAATATCTCCCCGCATCGCTTGCAACCTGAATCGCTTTGATCCTGCCGACACCACAACCGATACAAAAGGCGAGATGTAGGGTGCGGGAGGTGGGAAGAGGCCAAAGATCTGTTCCTGAGCATGCGCAGGGAAGGGGGCGCGCCGGGCAGAATCCCTCCAGCGCGTGCCAGTGAGCGCGTGCGGGTTGTCTGACCAACATGGCTACTTTGCAGAATGGGGTGGCGGAACACAAACACCCGGCGAGTTGCAGCCCCAACTGCGGTCCGGCAAAAGAGCAGGACGCAATAAAGCTATTTATTGGTCAAATTCCACGCAATCTTGACGAAAAGGATCTAAGACCTTTGTTCGAACAGTTCGGCAGAATCTACGAGCTGACGGTCTTGAAGGACAAGTACACGGGCATGCATAAAGGTAAGAAATTCCACTGTGTTGCGTAATCCTCATCCGTCCTCGTGCTCCCCATTCGAATGAACGCGGGGATGTTTCGCAAGTCATGCGTGCTGCTGAAGCACATTCCTCAGCACTGCACTTTAACATGCGTCGCTCTGGGTGAGATCCTGTTCAGCATTTGACAAGTGTTCTTTGAAAAATATTTATATATTATACACATTAGAGTTTCGTGTATATTTAAAACCTGTCCTAGATCATGATGTAGTTGTTGTCAATGAAATAACATTTCATTTTACATTCTTTAGGCTTTACAAAATGTTAAATTGTAAACTTGATTACTTTGAGATATTGAAGTTACACAGATTTACAAATAGAAACACACTTTTGTTTTCAAGAAACAATGAGTTCCCTGCGAGCTGCGCAGTTGTGTAAACCAAGTATAAATCAAATCGCAGTAGAAATTCTTTTCCGTTTACGTGTTATTCTCAGGATTGCAGTTTCTTATAAAATATATTTTTTAAAAACATCTGATGTATTACATACTTCTGTGACTTGTATAGTTGAACGTTTACTCTAAATCTCTACTTAAAGACAATCAGATTATTCTGCTGCCCCTTTATAGTATTCAGAGGCTTTTAGAATTCACTTGACACTTGAGCTGCTGTTATGCTAAAAATTTCAATTGATCCTACTATAACTGTACAAATTTCAAGTAAATCACAGAGTCATGGAAATCTTTTCAATTAACATCAAATGCTGCATTAACTCAAAGGTATTGCACAACATATATTAATCTGGTATGACGGAACTCTTCTCTTTAAAAACTGGTTGGCTGTCTGTAATTAATTTATGCAGAAAATTTGTAATAACTGAACTTGTGTGACGCATTTCATAACTGCCGATTTTAACTTTTTATATAATGTAAAAGAATTCGTTTCACTGCTAAAAAGAAATTGCTATAGCTTAAAAATCCCCATATTCGCAATTTAAATGATATAATTTTAAGTATTATAGTTATAATATGACTGTGCATTTTATTGCGTCATATGATTGACACAGATGATTTGCGTAATTCATATAACTTAACATCATTTAGTATGGTGTGCAACCAACAAGAAATTAAATTGATTAATGATTCAAATAGGAATTAAAGATATCAAACACATAAGATTTTATCGTTATTATATAGATTATTGACACCACATGAATGCTTGACATGCATGACTACTTTTGCATCATACATATAATATTCTGTCTTTTAGAAAAACGTAAAAACGTTCAGTTTTAAAATAAGAAACTATTTAAATTAGAAACAATTTATAGCCTTGTTCAAAAGTTTTAAATTGAAATCTTATAAACATTTTGCACCAAATCTAGAAGTCATTTCATGAAATCTAAAAACATTTAAACTTCCTAGTTAAAAGCGTTTTTTAGAAAATCTTAAAAACTGTTTGCAGATATGAAGACTAATAATTTGCCTTAAAATATTTTTCCCCACTAAATTTTTTAGAATAATTTATAAATATTATTCTAATAATATTTATCATGATAACTGAGACTTTTCATGTTGAGTTTATCAGTAGCAAATTCTCAGTTCAAGAAACATAATTTTGTGTTTAAGCATGTCTAAAATTCGCAGCGAAAGCAATCTTTCTCACTAATATTTACACAGTCAAATTTAAACAATACAAAATTTAATGCTCTTCCATTTCCATTATAATGTTCTTCTAAATGACACGTTTTATCAGGGGTAAAGCTATATATCTGTAAACATCTGTCAACTACTTATTTGCTTGTTGAAAAATAATGTACTTAATATTTCCTTGAAAGCTTTACTTAGGAAAGGTTTTGGTATTTAAAGTTTCCTAAACGAAAGGAAATTAAATTATGAGTAATATTTATAAATTGTAATTGAGTGGAGAAATTAATAAACCGCAATTTCTTATTATATTTACGTATACATATACATATATATATATATAACAGTTGCCCTTTGAAAGAATCATATTCATCGGTTTATTACAAATTTGTGTGATAATATTTGCATTTATATAATCAGTTTTCAAACTTACGATATACTTACTCAATATATGTGAGTTACTTAAGAATTAGTGTAATGATCAGTGGTTGAGTTCTAACTTACCCTAACTTTATATAAACATGAATGTTAAAAGTAACAGGTGTATCTGTCATTCATTTTATTTCAAAATATGTCGTATGTAATTATATATTTTTCTGTTTTATACACAAACTAATGTGTTTTAAGAAATAGTTTCTTTAAATTGAAATGCTATCGTTCAAATTACTTGAGTATTTTGCTATGATTTCAGGAACCGAATAAGTCTCTAACTGCTTTCGAATAATAAATAATTCCCAGCTTCTTGCCAATGTTACCTACCTTGCGAGATTGAACTAATGTTACAAATGAGAACATATGATTAATCATAGTCTTTACCCATTCATAGTGTTGTAATGTTTTATTGCTTTTAGATTATGCGTTCGTGTATTATGATGTATGTGAAGGATTAAAGAAGTTATAAAAAGATCAATTATCAAAATTAATAATTACTCCTCAACACTAATGGGTCAAGTTAATCCTGGAAGAGACATATAACAGTCAATAATATTGGTTTAAATTTACTAAATTAGTAGCATTTAGAATTTAGATTTAATTCCACATACTTCTCTTTTACAATCACGAAGTTCTAATGTAATATGTCAACAGTTATCTGGCTCCTAAGCGAATATTATTTCCTAATAGTGATTAGGTTGAATTGCTTCTTCCTTCATTCTTGGAAATGTGAAACATAAATAGAACTATGAAAGGTTGCTTGTAAAGTGCTTGTTTATTTCCAGTATTTATTTTTAACATACGTTTTGTCTTAAAGGCTTTCTTCCAGCACTTAAAAATTTACGAATCTCTAAAGACAGCTTTATATAGGTTTCGAATTCTTTTATAGTGGCTCCTTTTTAAACATTCAGTTGCAAATTGAAATGTTTGCTGCTTTCAGTTTCACTAAATAGGCTTTCAATGTCATTAACAGTCTCTACAAAACATAGAAAAACAGCCATTCATGTGAATAATATGTTACATATATCAGTGATTACCTAACACTGTAGAAAACTAATCTTCTTTTAACATTGCCCTTCAGAGTTACAAGAATACAGTAAATTTGGTACATTATTATACTGTCATTCACTTTATTACCTGTGTAAATTTACATTTCCATAATTTGCATATCAAAAGCAGTATTATAAAATTATACGAATAGTATATATTTATCTCAAGGAATTATTAAATAAGGTATATATTTGAAGAAAGAAGGACAATAACAAAAAATATTTGGCAAGTCATTTTACTATGAAATCTTGAAAGCATTGAATAAAATTATTAATATGAAATTTGTACTATCACATAGATATATAATACATATATTAATACAAATAAAGGTGCATTCTTTATTTTGTTATTATCTCTCAACTATGTACTGAGCATTAATGTTGTTTAAACTGGAATTTTGAATTTCGAATTTTTCTTTTTAATTAATTACTCAGTTTGTGTACATTATGTAGTAGCAAAATGATTATTTCTAAAACTAATTATTCAAAAAATTTTCCAAGTAGTATAAGGAAATGTTGTATGAATGATAATTTTAAAATTCAAATTTTATTCTTAAAAGAAAGTTTGAAGAATTTATTTCATAAATTTAATTATTTGTTATACTATTCTTTTTCTTTCAAAATTTGAATCAATTTAAGAATAATAAACATGAATTACTCCGGCCACTGTTCGGAATACTAATTGTAATTTCAAAAGAACTGAATACTAAATGGCAATCATTACAAAGGCATTCATCCAGATTTTTCTGAAAAACTAGAAAACTGTATTGTTTATTTAAAAATAGAGGTTATTGCAAGAACAAATGATAAAATTTTAAGTATGCTATAATCCAGTGTTTCAAACTGGTGGCCGTATGTAGATCCGAAGCAATATTATGCCACCCGCAAGTACGTTTCAGTTATCTTATAAAGTCTCATTTTTATTTTCTAACAAGTTATTTTAAGTTACGTTGCCTTCCTCTGAAGTTTTTTTTTTTTTTTTTTTTCATTTCCCTCCCGGAATGTAGATTTCCAGCGTCCGCGATATTCAAATTAGGTAGAATGAAGGAAGTATTTTAAAAAAAAAGTTTTGGAGAGTGAAATCAGGGTGTGCTCTGCCTGCTTGAAGACCACGTTGCTAACTTTGATTCTCTCGGTTAGAATTCTGTTGCATTGAGTTATTCTTGCCATTTGGTTTATTTACGCCGACTTCGGTGAGAGCCAGCTTGCTTGCTAGTTATACTGTGAAGCAGTTAGGATATACTTCGTTAATTTTAGTTTATGTATTATATCTGATTTAAACAAAACGTGTTGGCATCTGTAAGCAAGAGTTATTGGAGTCTGTTAAATTTATTTGGATTAATGAAAGGGTCCTTTATATCCTTTCCCTGTCTCTGTGGTATTTATAAGACACAGTGAAAAGTCTCTAACTGTACTTCTAGAGTTCTGGTCTAACTGTATGTTTCTTACGAAGGCCAAATCTTATAATATATTTGTTGTAAAGATTTTAGGATTTTAATTATTTGAAGTTCGAGTTTACATTACTTCCTTTACCATTAAAAACCAACGTGAATAACTAACCGGAATATGTTTGAACTGAGACAGTTAATTATTTGTGCCATCTAAATACTATTAAAACACTGAAACTGTAGATTTTAATTAAAGTTTATTTGTACTTGTCAAAACAAAAGCACCCTCAGTCAAATATTTTACCATTAAGATGGTTTGGTTTGTTGGTTATGGCAAAAGAAAAGCAGGACTGTCTGCCTAAAGGAAGGGGTAGCCTTTGTGGCTGACTTTATAGGGAGACTGGCTTCTATACACTTTGCAGAGTGGAAAACTACGAAAACGCCCATACACCCAGCTCATTTGCTTGGAATCGAAACTACCAGCGTTCAGCTATCTTACCTCTCGCAGCTGGT